GCTCCCGCTCGGGAAGCCTCCGTGTGTGACGGCGGGCAGCGGGGCGGGGAGGCTGCGGCCCTTGCGGTCGGGGAGGCAGAGGCTTCTGCTGCCTGCGCGCTTGTCTCGCCCCCCTTCCCCTCTCTCTTCCCGCCCCTCTCCTCCCGCCTCTCTCCCCTTTCTCGCCCGCCTCCCTCCTTCTCTCTTTATTCCTCCTCCCCCCCCGCACCATGCTCTCACTCTGCCGGTATCACGTGTCGCCATCATACTCATTGGGAGTCTCTGCCTCGCCTGTCGCCACGTTTCAGGAGCAATGAGGACACTTCGTTGCCATCCTCTGCACGCCCTCCCGCTCCCACCGTCCCCATGCTCTGAGGAAGAGAACACCGTGGCTCGGACCCGACCGAGGGGCCCCAACCCCTGACATCCTATTCCCAGCCCGGGAGAGGCAGCCGGGGTGCAGACGGGCCCCGGCGGGCACTGGTAGGGAGAGGGGCGCGGAGCCAGTAGCGGGGACCTCCCTCTGGAGACACCGCGGAGAAGCCTGAGGACACAAAGTGTGGGTTAGGGTCCATGTTTGTCCTTTTCCCCGCCTTCCTCCGAGTTTAATTGGAAAGTTCCGAGGCGGAGGGGAAAGACCGAGCGGTCCAGCCCGCCGATTCCAGAGGACACGCTCCGGTGGAAGGGAAGGGCAGGGGCAACTTGTTGGCGCCCATCCGGCTGGAGCAGCTCGTGGGAACAAGACTTTTTCGTGTTCCCTGTCTCGAGCGAGGCCTCGTGGGCGCGGAGGGAGCTCAAGCCGGGAGACAGTGAGTGAGGGCAGGGTCTGCTCCGACGAGAGCCCTGTTGCTGAGCCTCAGCCTGGCGGGCGTGCTAAGCGCCCAGCTCCCGCCCACGGCTGGTGGGCTCCGCGCTAGTGCTGGACAGCTCCGCTTGCTACCTGCAGCCGCCGCGTTCGCTGGCGTCTTGGGCAGAGGGACTCGCGCAGTTGCACTGCAGACTCCACTACCTAGGACCGGGCTCGGGGGGAGGCCAGGGAGTGATGCCTGGTCCCTGATCTGCTGGACTCTTTCCGGCAAATACTCGATTTGTTTGTACTCGGCTGCAAATGCTGCTCAAAAAGCTAAGCGGAGTGAGGAAAAAAGGCTTTTCAAAGCCCAACAACAAACACGCCACAGCGCGAGCACACCTCTCGCCGCGAGTTTGCGGCGGAGCTGCTTCATTCCAAAGCTTGCCTCATTGCAAACCAGCAGTCGCTCTCAGCGTATGACTCCACTGCGCTGGCTTTAGCCTCAGAAAAACCTTGGTCGTTCTGCCCTTAGGGTAAGGGATGGAAAGAAGGAGCAAATACGAGTGTCTCAAAAGAGTAGTGTAGGCTGCGCTTCTCTCTGTAGCAAAGCAGATGAGCGTCCTCCATCTGTCAGCGTCCCCCACCTTTCCCCGCCGCTCAAAAGAAAAGTGGCTCTGACTTTAGCTCCCCAGAGACACAGAAGCCAACGCGATTTCAAGTGCTGGTCCTTCTGAGTGAAGGCAGATGAGTTTGTGGGTTGCACTTATAAAAAGAAAAAACAACTAAATAATTCATATACCTTCTATTTTTTAACTCTAAATGTTCCCATTGTTTATGAGGACCCAGATAAATAAGAATGTTGTTTGAAGTTTCTTTTTATACGTTGAAAAAGTCCACTCAACCTTATTCAGAGACATATCTTATTCCCAGAGCTTAGATGGAAGTAAAAGATACGAAAAGTGCATACTATCGAGCACACTCTTCCCTTCAAAAATATATATATAGCCTTCAGAATGTTGAGTAAGTTGCTAACTGCATAGCTACTTTCTCTTCTTAGCAGAGGAAATTCGGTATAGGCGGGCTTTTTTTTTTTTTTTTTTTTTTTTGAACATTTTAGTTGTGCTTTAGGTGAAAGTTTACAGAATAGTTTCTCATTCAATAATTTATACACAAATTGTTCTGACGTTGATTGCAATCCCTGCAATGTGTTAGCACTCTCCCCCTTTGCACCCTCTGGTTCCCCATTTCCATTCCTCTGGTTTTCCTGCCCCTTCCTGCCTTCTCATCCTTGCTTTTGGGCAGGTGTTGCCCATTTGGTCTCGTATACTTGATTGTTCCTCACAGGTGTTATTGTTTGTTTTATAGACCTGTCTAATATTTGGCTAAAAAATGAACTTCAGAAGTAGCTGCAGTTCTGAGTTAGAAGGGTGCCAAGGGGCCATAGTCTTGGGGGTTCCTCCAGTCTCTGTCAGACCAGCAAGTTTAGCCTTTTTTTGTAAATTTGAATTTTGTTCTACATTTTTCTCCTGCTCTGTCCGTGACCCTCTATTGTGATCCTGGTCAGAGCTGTCAGTGGTGGTAGCCGGGAACCGTCTAGTTCTTCTGGTATCAGGCTAGTGGAGGCTGTGGTTTATATGATCCATTAGTCCTTTGGACTAATTGCTTTCTTGTATCCTTGGCTTTCTTCATTCTCTTTTGGTCAGAATGAGATCAACAGTTGTATCTTAGATGGCCACTCATAAGCTTTTAAGACCCCAGCTGCTACTCACCAAAGTAGGATGTAGAACATTCTGTTCATGAACCATGCTATGCCAGCTGACCTAGACGATCCCTGAGACCAGAGCCCCTGGCAGGAGGGCTCTCTTTTTAAATGTATAGGTAAATAGATAAATAGTGTGGTGTATCTGCTTTAGATTTCTCCGTTACTTCAATTCATTCTATACTCCTTTGTTTCCATGGAAATCATGCACAAATTAGACTTTTTATAATAAACACTAGCCATCAATCCTGCTAAAAACTTTCACTGGCTTTTCTTTTTTTTCTGAATTAGAATGGATGGTTTCTTTGAAAATTACATTATTCCAGCTTTGGGAAAACTGTTTAATAATCTTGGTGTACCGTATCAGCAACAGCATAAAAATTGGAGTTCCTAGTTCTCTTATTTAGTTATAATAATTTAATTGACAAGTTCTCTAGAATCATAGAATTTTAGAGCTATTATTAAGGATATTAAATAGCATATGCCCTTCACATTCCTCTGACAAACTGCCGTTTGTCAAACACACACACACACACACACACACACACACAAAGTCTAATTATGGTAATGGCAAATAACTTTTGCATTGAGCTTAGAACTGGAACTTTTTACTAATCATTCTAACTCATCTCAGTCTAATTACTGAGTACAAGGCCATGAGTGTCATTTGCTTCTAAAATTCACAAGAAGCTCAAACAGTCTTCCTGTTTATACTGAACATTTATTGCCAGAAAGAACTCTGAACTTATGAGGAATGTTTCCTTTGTGTGAACCATTTGAATCAAAGACTTTACAGAATCTAGCCAGATGAAGTGGCCTTACAATTTTCTGTATGAATTACCCTGCCTTTGATCATGATTTTCCCACTGCTTTTCAAACTATAAACAAACGGAGGCATAGATATAGACAGTACATCATCTGCGTGGCTTTCAAGGGTTCCTTTGTATTTCTGTTCAGGAGCAGAGTTCAAAAGCTCTCAATATGAGGAATTCTGTATACTATACTCAAATTAACATTTTTAAAAGTATAACATATTCTCCATAACAAAAAAAAAAAAAAGTCTTTCAGCTAGTAAAAGGAGTCCAAACACTTTAGGCAAAGAGTAGTCCATTGAGAATGAATAGCCTACACTCTGATTTTAGAAAACCAAGCCTGCGCAAACTCATGCCCACAAATCTGGCCCTGCTAGGTATATGGTGTTACAATAAAATCCTTAACATACAGTCTTCTGTTGGAAAAGGAAAATGCAAGAATGTACTTAGTTTGTCTGTAAGGTTGATAAGGGCACCTGAGGACTCTCTTCAGATTGTTGAAGCATCAGAAAGATTCCCTAAGGAAGCAGATTGTCCACCTTAGTCATGATGGTGACTCTTCTGCCTTTAAGCATAAAACAACTGTTGTTTATGTATGCCTTACTTCATATAAAATACTGCTGTTTATAAACTCCTTTCACCTACATTGCCTCATTTAATTTGATTTTCGTCCTTCCCAGAGAAGTAGAGAAAAATCACCTCTGTCAAATTCAAATAAAAATGACAATCAGTCCTTAGTCCCCAAACTTTTTGCATTTCAGAACCCCAACTCTTTCCTAATTTCTTTTCATCCATCTAAGTCTCCAGCAAGAAAACCTGCAACATTTGCACAGCATCCTCTCTCCTGATATGAGAAGACTGAATGAGGACATCTCTCCCTATGGTCAATCTTTACATAAATCTGGCAACTCACAGGAATTGTCCATGCAACATTGAAGCAAGTTCTCTGAAGAAATACAGTAGCTGATGAATTCTTAACTAGGACAAGTTTTTCTGAATTACTAACCTACAAAATCACACACACATACTTACACATACACACTCCTCACATGCAGGTGTAACCCTATGTACATGTTCCCTGAATAAGGTCTACCTCCATTTCCCACTTTATCCTACCTCCCTCTTTTAAAAGAGGGCAGATATATTTCCTCAGTGAAAAACTGAGAGATAATAAGATTAGGGATACTGTGCTTCATATTATTGCATAATTTTGTAAGTAAGACTGAATACTAAGGATACTATCAAAGTGAGAAGAACCATCTGCTTTCTCTATTTCTAAAGGGACATATGGAAGACGGTGAAATCCTTTATCATCCTATGGTTATATTTCATTATAAAACCACCCTGAAGGGATAGGGTACTTGCTGCTTGAAAAGAAGAAAGAGAAAAGAAAGGAAACAAAGCCAAAACCACCAAATTAAGTAAGATTTGTACCAGAAAGATACTTATGAGTAAGATGGTT